CCCCAGTCAACAATGTCCGGCCCGCCACCAGAGAAGGGAAAAGTTATGTGGCCCTCACAGGATAAAGTTTGGGGACCCCTGCTTTACGGTAATCCAGTTCAGTGGCTTTTCCTAATATGGCTCTCTGCCCAGGGTGGCACGTCACCGGGGACAACACGAGCCACAAATGTCAATATTTATGCACCAAGTAAAATTTAGTGCAGATATTCAAAAACACATTTTAAGCAGGAAGATTTTAATTTATTTTTCCTGCTTAAGTTTCATATCTTCACATTCAGGATTTACTGATTATTTGTAGCAATTCGTACGATATTGTTTCTAATGTGTCAATCTGTTTGTTTATAACAGATTACTGCAGCTGCAGTAGCACTGGTTAGCAGGAGTTATTACTTGTTTAGCAGGAGTTGTCACTAGTTAGCAGGAGTTGGCACTGGTTTAGCAGGAGTTGGAAATGAACCAGTGTCCTGAGTATTGCGACAGGTCCAGCAGAACTCTGACCAGAACCTGGTCCAACAGACATTTGGGCAAACTTACTGATTTTATGGCCTGAGGAATCCTCTTCCACAGATAGCGGGCGTTGTTCCTAGAGGCCAGAAACAACAGGACTCAGTCAACAGGAAGTGGAGCAGGAAACACAGGAAGCCCCACTGTTTGATTGGCAACGCTGCAATCCAGATGCTAAAGGTTTGGTGTCAGGAATATTCTGATTTGGACCTGATTCTCTCTACATGGAGACAGCAGGTCGCCATGGAAACAGTCTAATTTACACGCCCATTAGTCAGCGGGGGTAAATCCCAACATCACCAGTCAAAAGGTGATGCTTGCACAGCGGCCATTTTGCTTTACTTACATGTCATTGTTGAGTAGATACAGTGCTAGCATCTGAGCGTAGACCTGGGGAGTTGTGATGCCCCCTGGAGCCTGGTGAAGGTAGTGCAGGTGGTTATTTCTACAGCTCTTCACTCATCAAGGATATTATGTTGTTCCCCAAAAGAACAACATATAAAAGAAAACAGGTCTAAAACAAGGTGGATAAGACAGGAAGTGACACGTTTTAGGCATTCAACGCCTGCCTGAATAAAAAGTCTTGAAGGAAGATTCCTGAGTCCAGGTCACATCAAAGTATGAACTGTCTATAAAAACAGCTTTTATGCGTTACCGTGGGTTACAGTTTCCAGAATACCAGCTGAGAGACAAACAAATGACATTAAATTATTTTCTCCCCAACATAAAATGAGCTGAATCAACACTTTAAGTGGTTTCATATGAAACACCAGGTTTCCATGGAAACCAGGAAATGTCTGCCTTCATGGTTAGGATTCATCTGAAAATGAATCATTTAAGCTGCATGTCTTGCTGCTCAAAGCAAAATGTTCTTTATAGCATAAAGTTACATTATTATCAGGAACAAATATGACTGTTTGGGTAATTAAATAAAACATTTTCTGTGATTTGTGATCCAAACTTTGGGTTTCACATAAACAAGGGAAAATAATTTAATTCAGAATTTCTTATTTTAAACAGACACACGGGATCTTTGATCTGGAAGTTATTTTAATGATCTTTGAATAAAAAGATCATAAAAATAGGCTGACATTTCTTCCTCATGAAGGAGACACTAATCAATACGAATATTCAGGTGTTATAATTTACAGGGCTCCATAAGGAACAAACAGGATTACTGTTATTATTCAATTATTTTCTAGTCAGTTTATGCAGCACCTGGAACACTGAAAGTCTTCCTGCTACCTTATAAGGTCTTTCTTAGACTTTTTTTAAATGTTAGTATCTCATTTGTGAGTTTTGTGAAGCTGTATATCATTTTATTTAAGATATAAACAAACAGATTTGAAAAATGGTGGAGTAAAAACAGATTAAACATGGACTGAAAAACAGATGGGGACAGAAATCTTCTGAAAGAGAAACATGGTGAACTATTCTGATCCATTTTCACGGAGTAGCAGCGCCATCTGCTGGCAGCTGTAGTCGGTGTTGATGGTTTGACTGGTTAGTAAAGGACCTGCTGCTGGTTAATATCCTACCTACGGGTTTTACCAAGACAAGCATTAATAACCCAGTTACAGTCTTAAGTTCCGGTTTTCTGAACCAGTTAATTAAAAATAAATTAAGACGTTTTCACTGAAGGTCTTTAGAAATTATGTGCAATTTTTATTTAGTGATTATTCATTAGTTATCAGTGTGAAAAATCAGATCAGAGGGTATTTGCAAACTTATTGTGATGGAAGGAAGAAAGAAAAACATCACTTTGATCCTCAGGGGCCTCCGTAGTAATCTA